GTCTGCATTTTCTTTGAACTCTTTTCTGGCACTCGCAATCATCCCATACATCTGCTCATGCAATTACACATTTCCACCAGAGAGGGCTCCAAATCCTAAATCTTACATAATGCAGTGATTAAATATAGAAGTAGTTTAAAGTAGAACTGGTTCAAACTGCAGTTTCACAGTAAAATATAAAAAATATTTAGAATAAACAGTGAAGTATTCAGATATTTTCAAGAATTACATTATGATCTATTTAAACCCAAGGCATTAATAGACATAGTAATACGCTAAATATATACAAAATCAAATAAATATATATCAAAATCATTTGTGTTGGAAGTGGCTGTCCCAAACCCTAACCCCAAAATTTCAACTTTAAAATAACTTTTAAAAATAATATTTACTTTTTTGGGTTTTTTTTTCAATGATGTTGAACAGTGAAGCTGTGTAATTTAGATTTTAATTTTTAAATGAAAAGAATGTATTCAAAAAATGTTGTCCCACATTTTTATGTCACTACCGAAACTCAGAGTTTTAGGCCATAGGTGGGGGCTTATTTTAGCCACACCCCTGCAGGAAGTAAGACTGCATCCCTGTCCCTCTTGGCCACATGGTGAGCCATTAGATCCTATTGTTTTAAAGTAAATGTGTCCCAAAGTCTGGGTTAGTAACAAAATCAGTGTGTAACATTAAGAATTGTCATATTTTCTGCAATTAAGTAAACTTTTTTTGTGTTTCAATGAAAAATATTTTTGATTTTATGTGTGTAACAGTTCAAAGCTGTGTTTGCTAGCCATGTTCTGGCTAGTATTTTTGAATTATGCACAAAATTAGATAAAATTGTCACTACTGAAACAGTTGTGGTACTTTTATGACTGTTTTGTTAGTGACTAAATGGAGTATTGTATGGAATATTAATTTTAATAAAATAAACATAATTAAGATATAGAGTCACTTAACGCAAAAGTCAGAAATGTGTTTTCAACTTTAACTTTGAACCAATTCAGTCGAATGATCCACACACAGATCTAGTTAATCCATAAATTAAAAGGCAATATCTATTGTTTAGATTTCACACCCTAGCTCTTTTAACATGTGCAGAATGAGGCTTGATGTTGTCATCTTGAAATAAGTATGGACGTCCCTGAAAAAGATGGCATCTAGAAGGCAGCATATGTTGCTCCACAATGTGTTCAGTGTTAATAATGCTATCCCAGATGTGCAGGTTACCCACTAATACATCCCCATTTCATGATAAGGCCTGGCTTTTGAACATTATGCTGGTAACTTTACGCTTATTGGTCCTTTTCTTCGTTGACCCGGAGATCTGAAAGGTTGGCTCATCAGAACACGTTTCCATTATGCATCAGTCCATTTCAGATGAGCTCAAGCCCAGAGAAGTCAGCAGTGTTTTTGTACATGTGGCTTCCACTATGCATAGTACAGTCTCACCTGTTTAGGTGATGTTTAGGTTTCTAGTCTTAATTTTCCCCTGTCTCAACTTTTTTGGAACATATTTCAGGCATCAATTTCAGTAGATTAGCATAAAACAATGAAATAAAACATTACATATCTTGTCATATCTTGTCCTTGTACTGCTTTTGTTTAAATGCAGGTCAAAGTAGGATTACAAATCACTGATTTCTGTTTTTATTTACATTTCACCTACTCTAACAACTACAGGTGTTCTATAGAAACAAAGCAGAGTGATACTTTTCTCTATTTAGGAAGAGTTCATTATGTTTCAGATTTAAAATATAGCAATATTTATTGCAATGAACCCACAGCATGGCTATTTTCCACTACCATTAAGCCCCACACAGCACATCGCCTGTCCTTACATCTCCGATATTGACTCTTTGTGGATTACACTGTTTAGTTAGGTGAGCGTGACTGGATTTATACACACGGTTGTTCTTTTTATCTCTAGTGTTTAGTGGTGTTACGAAAGCCAGCATGGTGCCGGACTAAAGCTCGCCTTCACGCGCTCTGTTTGTTCCTGCTATCTCCGCGGTTGCTAATGGTTTCCGTTTTGCAAATGGCACGTCTGGTTCAGTGTCACTCTGTACTGCTGACACTGCCTTTACCCGAATGATCAAGAAAAAACCTGCCATGCTTGTGACCTCTTTGTTGATGTACAGGATATGTAACACAAAAAGCCTGCAGACACCTCATCCAGCGTTTCCTCTGAAATCAAGAGTATTTATAGGGAGTTTCTGCCCCCTTTACTGCAGTAACAGCTTATCACTGTTGTCGGAAGAAAACCTTGTATCTCCATTTTTGTTTTTCAGTTTTTGACATAGTTTGAAAACGCCTGTTGGTCTTTACATCGTGTGTAAATTTCATGATGAATGGACCAAAAGAAACGGCCCAAGATGACTTGGAAAAAATTCTGGTTCCATTGACTTACATTAAAAGTAAAGTATATTTATTCCTTCTCCTGTAAAGTTGTGAGGTTTTCTTCTGATAGCTGGGAAGGCTTTACAATAGAAGGTGCATTGCTGTCACAATTTGATTGCATTCGGGCACAAGAGCATTAGTAAGGTCAGGTACTGTTGTTGAATGATTAATTCTGTGTCATAAACACAACTCCAGCTGATCCCAAAGGTTCTGGATGGCGTTCCGCAAGAGAATGAAGTTCCACTGCTCCACAGCCCAAAGCCGGGGTCTTTATTCCCCTCTAGCCGACGCCTGACATTGGCCGTTCTATTGCTCAATGCTTTTTTATGCAGATTATACAAGTTATGTATGTGAAATTGAATGCCTGTGTGAGCAATGAGTAGTGTTGTAGTACTTCAGTCCAGTGTCAGTCTCAAGACTGTAAATCAGGCTCTGTTTCATTTTGACTCGGTCTTGGTTTCAGGGTAACGTGAAATGACTCATTACTGAACATCAACAAAACCTTCAGACCTTTACAGTCCTTCTCTTCATGATTAAATAATATCTGCCTGTAGAGGAACTAACTGATTATTTCCATGATGGCTAAACTTGTTATTATTTGTCCAAAGTTCAAACATCACCTGAGGGCAGATCAGAATATTATTATTATTATTTTCGTTTTCATTTAGTAATAAAAATGGATGTGTGTTGTTTGGTTTGTGTTCAGTTTTCTTTAGGTGCTGACTCTGGGTAAGTTTTAGAGATATACTTAAACCATTACCCTACAATAAGGCACAAACTTGTTATTGTATTTATACTACATTACATTAATGTTTTTTTATTTATTAAAGGTCATTTTAATATTGGAGGCAGAGGTCTTCATGGGCGTGAAATTCAAGCCCAAACCTGCTTTAGCACAGAGATGGACAGTGATCTGCTTATGGCAGATGTGGTTTTACAGTACTTTGCTCTGTTATGGAGTGTCTGTGGTATTTAACACATCTGTAACACATTAACAGCAGTATATTTTTGTTGAATTGCTGATCTTAACTGGCAATAATTACAGTACAGTTATGTTGTTTAGATAGCAAACAGCACCATCGCCAGCTTAACCTCTTTCCGCATGTCCTCTAGAGGCCATTCCGCTGACAGAACCTAGAACATAGAGCTTAAGATATTATTTCCCATTAACTCTGTTATCAGATTAACTAGGACACTGTTGGCTCTCTGTGTGAGAGATGTTGTGACTCTGTTGAGCTGCTAGCGAGCAATGAGGAGTGAAAGGGGAGCGGTGAGGACCCCCTGCTGTAAAAACAGTTCATACTTCTCCACAAAGATGTCCGTGATGAGATAAAACAGACAGCATAACTGCAGCTTTCGTCACATCACAAGAATTGTGTAGAACTGCCACAATAAAAATAGCGATTAAACACAATGAAAACACATTTATAGATGTTGACTTGCTTGCTGGCCTACAAAGATGAAAATCCAGTTCACTTCCAGTTTTGTAAATCATACAAATTTCATTTTCATTGTGGGAAAAAAGGCATAGTTCAATTGAGGGATCTCCAAAACAAGCGGGAATAGCATTTTATGGCTACACTGCAAAAATGTTTTTTTTCAAGTAAAATTATCTTAAATATAGTAAATACATCTAATATTTCCCCAGTTGAGATTGTTGTAAGCTTAATTTAAGATTATTTACCTTAATACTAGACATTCTTTACTTGTTTTAAGTAAGTTTATTAAGTAAAATGATGTCACTATATTGGCAGATAATTTTCCTTGTTTTGAGAAATATGCTTGAAACCAGCAACATTATCTGACAGTGTAGTGAGATCATTTTACTTGATAAAATGACCTAAAACAAGTAAATAATGTCTGGAAATAAGCTAGATAATCTTGCACAACCATCTCAAAATGGGAAATATTAGATATATTGACTAGATTTACGATCATTTCACTTTACCAGACACCATTTTTTGCAGTGTACTTTGAAAAGGGGTTAACGCCATCCCAACAGTTCTCCTTTAACAAGCTTTCTTTTTATTTCATCAATGGCTTTGTTGCACACATAGCTGCAGAGAAAATGTGTGAATGCACAAAATGTACATATCGGGTTTTCCTAAAAATATAACCAAATCTAACAAATCTCATTAAAAAAACCCTCTGGGAAAAATCAGTGCAGACCAGCATACGTTCCATGCTGGTTTATGCTGGTCTAGTGTTGCTCACCCAACATGGTCATGCTGGGTGACCAGCATACCAGCACCCAAAACACAACATATGCTTCTGACCAGCCATGCTGGTCTATGTTGGCTTTTCTATTAGGGAACAAACCCAAGCACACCCAAGCCCAATGTTGAATGTGAACAATTGTCCCGAACCCGGCCCAAAACCCAATATTTTGTCAGGCCTTCTAGGCTCAGGTAAAGGACCTCTAACAGGAGGACCCGATGCCTCATGAAGTGGCTTTATTAGTGTTTGTAATACAGTAGATGCTGCATGCATTTATGGGCAAATATACAGCAAGAATAATTCACCTTGGACCAACGTGGCTTTGCATTTATAGTGTCCTGCTTGTTTTGTTTTGCTGTGCATGAGGCTAATACTGTCCCTGCTCTCTGTGACAGGCTGAAGAAGAAGTCCCAGTCGGTGGATATTGCCTCTCAAGGCTTCCCAGCCAGCCTGATCCCGGGGCTGTCCATAAACAGGTCCTCACCACCTGTTGCCAGGACAACCACATTCGAGGTGCAAGAAAACAACACGACTAATTCCCAGCGGCGCAGTCCACGATGCGGCGAATTGAAGAGAGGCTACACCATAGGTAAATGAACACTCGGATGTTTCCATTGCACACACTGCGTGTGAGTGTGTGTGTGTGTGTGTGTGTGTGTGCTTGTTCTGTGGTCCTAAGGGAGGTGTATGTGTATGTAGGAGCACATGGGAAGGTTATCAGTGTTCACCTGACTGACTGCGATGCCCGAATGCTCTATCTCAGCCCGAAATGACTCCAGCGCACTGTGAACCAGCCAATTCCTCGTTCTTCCTCTCCTGCCTCCTGATTTGCCTCAGCATTCCAGGCTGTCTGTGCGGCCAACATTTGCTGACCATTACTGTGGTCCTCTTCTGGCGCTGCTCTTGGCCTCAAAAGTTTCGTTCAAAAATGCTAACCTGGCTAACAGAAGGTGCAAGCTTAGCAGGAATGAGTTAGCATAATCTCATTCACATCACACTAAGCACCTCTTTCAGCTTTATGATTTATGATTAGCAACATTAGCATTATTGAGTGGAATATTGCTTTAAGGTAGCATTTACTTATAGAAGGACATTGCTAACATGGATAACTAGCAAGGACGGATTAGCAAAATCTCATTTACATTATAGCAGCCCTTTCCAGCTGTCCATGTTTAGTATTGCATTTTTTAATGAGAATATTTCTTCAAAGTAGCATTAACATGTATGGAAGTTCATCCAAAAATGCTAGCATGGCTAACAGCGAATGCAAGCTGGGATAATCTCATCACATTACAGTCCCTTCCGCTGTTATGATTAGCAATGTTAGCATACTCAAACAGGTTGACCAGCAAACCAATGACCAAAACACAACATATCTAGGTTTTGCCAGTGATTAGCATAACATTGTTTCTGATAGTCCCTTCTTTTTGTTTATGATTAGCCACGTTAGCATTTTTGACTGGGGTTTTTCTTGTATTTACATTGATGCAGTTACAGAAAAGCTTTTTCAAGATGCCAAAATATCAATCAATCAACCTTTACTTAAACTCAGAATACACTGAGGGAGACCCTCATTTACAGTGTAGCCGAGTAATACAGGAATCAGGGATTGAGAAGTTGTACAGTAAAAAAAGATCAATCAAATGCTGTAATTAAATAATACCAATAAACTGTTAAATCAATAAACGATTAAAATTACAATATAACAACTTATCAAGTAACAGAGCAGATAAGGATAAAATAAATAAAAACTAATTAATGAAATAAAAGAAATAGATGTAAATATAAATAAAAATAACTGTGAAGACAACCTAACAGGGCCAGATGGCGTCATCTCATTCACATGAGTACTGAGTCGTCCCTTCCAGTTACCAGTTAGCATTTTTTACATTAAACTACTTTCAGGGGTGTTTACTTTGTACTGACAGTTGTGCTTAAGGACAGGCTACTGTATTTACAGTGTCTGAGCACCACCAGTAGCCTTTAACATTAGCATTTCTCGTAGGCCCGTAGCTTCCTCTTCCTCTCAGTAACGATCTACACTATTAAACATTCATAGTTCCCCTTTAGAAACTCAACCCCGAGACATGTGGATTAGTGGAGCAGACGCTCAGCGATTCCACTCACGCATGTGAGTTCTCCGGTCTGCCCCTCAGACCCTTTCTAAGTCAGTTGGAGGCCTCGTAAGCTCACTGCAGGTTGGAGTGGTGGTGCTGCTGGGGATTCTTCACATGTAGTGGTGATTAGTGAATCATAATGCTTTGCCCTGACATTGACCGGAGGAGAGCTTTACAGTGACGAAGGCAGAGCGTGTTGATGTTAGCATGTGGAGAAGTACTGTGCTTAAATTAATATCTCATTCATCAAGGTCAACATTGCTAACAGGGGAATCAAAACTTGTGTTGACCGGTTAGCATAGCTACATCTGAACAGTGTTGACCATGTGGCAGAGCTAAGCAGTGCTTAAAGGGACCAGTTAGTGTGATTGCATCAGTGCTGGTATGAGTGGATCAGACACAGCAGTGCTGCTGGAGTTTTTAAACACTGTGTCCACTCACTGTCCACTCTATTAGACACTCCTACCTTGTCAGTCCACCTTGTAGATGTGAAGTCAGAGACGATAGCTCATCTGCTGCTGCACAGTTTGTGTTGGTCATCCTCTAGTCCTTCAACAGTGGTCACAGGACGCTGTTGGCTGGATATTTTTGGTTGGTGGACTATTCTCAGTCCAGCAGTGACACTGAGGTGTTTAAAAACTCCAGCAGCAATGCTGTGTCTGATCCACTCATACCAGCACAACAGACACTAACACACCACCACCACGTCAGTGTTACTGCAGTGCTGAGAATGACCCACCACCCAAATAGTACCTGGTCTGTGAGGGTCCATGGGGGTCCTGACCACTGAAGAACAGGGTAAAAGGGGGCTGACAAAGTATGCAGAGAAACAGATGGACTACAGTCTGTAACTGTAGAACTACAAAGTGCACCTATATAGTAAGTGGAGCTGATAAAATGGACAACGAGCATAGAAACAAGGAGGTGGTCATAACGTTATGGCCGATCGGTGTATGTATGAATGTTACTGCGAGAAAATTGACCTCATTCATTATAACTGAGGTACAAAACATCTTTGTAAGTGAAACTAATTATATATTAATTCATTATATATTATATTCAGAAAGCCTTTTCTTCACATTTTGTGCCTCTGAGCCTTTAAAACCTTTGTAGCAGTGACTGAGTAATGCTGCGGCTGGACTCAATGTCTGGTTACCTTGTCAGTCCAGGGGGTCGGCGGCATGTTTTGCAGCAGGGCAAGCTACTTATCTTCCACCTCTGACAGTTTAACTGACTTGTTAATGGACTGTTGTTGCCTTGACGCTGCAGTTTGTAGCTAGGCTGGACGTTAAGACGAACACGTGTGAGGAAAAGAGTCGTTGAATCAACATTGAGAATGTAGTACCAAACAGACCGTATGGTGCCTCATGGTTGTGGCGTTCTGTATATTCGCATTGTCTTTGTATTTAGCATTTCATTATCAAACAATGCATTGTTTAAATAGCTGTATAGCATCATATGTCTTACTGTATGAAGGCTCTAGAAATTTGTGTAAGTGGTTTAACTAAGCTGCAAAAACAACCTATTTCGGTTTGTGACATCACAACTATGAACACATTGACATATGAACAACCATTCAGCCTTGAGGCAGTTCAGCTAACCATTCACATTCAAGTGATGCGGAGTGTTGTTTCTGCGAACAGCCTGTAGCAGAGTTATTGGAGTGAAACGTGACGAACACAGTTAAACATTGTGCTGTTCATGTCTGTCAGGAAGCATTATATTCTGAGTGGCTCACAATGGGCCTCTTTACCCCTTTAATGGCCCAGTCTACAATATAGCTCAATCAGTTTGCACTGAAATCCTTGTAGTTAAGGAATTATATGCCTTAGTGTGCAATAAGCCTGGGATTTTAAGGGTTAAAGTTTGAGAAGTGTAGGCTAACATTCTTGCTCACCTTCAGAGACCACACCCACACACATGTCCTGCCAGTCATGGCGCATTTTGGCCCTGCACGCCTCGCTCAAATTGGAGGAGAGCGCTGGTTCATTTGCGTCAGGTTGCTGGCGGCGACATGCTGCGCCCTCCTCCCGGCTTCATGGCGGCGCCACCATTAAATCCACCCCCCCCAACCGATCCATCAGCCGCATTTTAATAACCATCCCTGACGCGTCCCGTCAAATTACACTGCCTCGCAGCCTCGCGGGAAAGACGCTGCCAGTGGTTTAATGTGGTTGAATGAAAAGCCTCTATTCTTAGTTTGTAATGAAGGTAATTTTTAGATGGAGTTTCTGAATGAATAAGCGCTTCACGCCCGGTGCAGCAGATCTGTTGTGCGGGAGAGTTTTAAAAGGCCTTGGACTGAACTGGAAAACAGCACAGTATGTGTTTTCCAGGAATAATAAGATTAAGGCTACTTTGTGTGCACAGTTGAGGTTGATTAAGGTTGCATAATGTAACACTCGTGTAATGTTGGCCAAGCTAATCTATTTTATGCCCTTAAAATATATAAAAGATTCTAAATGGTTTTTAGCTTGAAACCTTTACATTAAATAGAAGTTCTGTAAACACTAAAATGCTTTAAAGAACCATCCAAGGAACCAAAAGGGCTCTATGGCATTACTTCTAAGAACACTTTGTGGCATCTTTGGCCGTATTTCAAAGCATTATGGGTAATGTAGTTCACTTGAGTAGAATGGAAGCTATGCATTTGTTCAAAAAAAAGGTAAAAATACCACAATTTTTCCAAAATTTCTGCATAATTAAATGGTTAATATGTAAACAAAGCCATTCAGAGTAGTGATGTGAAATGTGCTGTTCTAGAGGAACTTACAGAGTCAAAATTGTTCCCAGTGGTGGTGATAGGAACCAGACGTCTGAAGAGCTTCATCACAGAGGGTTATTACATGAATGGTTATGAATATGATCCCCGATGCCTGAGAGAAAGAAAACATTTTCTTACCATCGTCGACGTTACATAGAAAAATTCAGAAGCCAAGTATAGGTGTGCTGGTAGTTTTGTATAGCCAATAAAATGTGAATTTGTGTTGAAGACACTGTGACCCCTGGTTCCCATCACCACCAGTGTAAAGAAATACAAGTTGCTGAGTTTCTCCGCAATGCACCATTTCACCCATTTCACGTCAAACCACTCTGAATAACTCTGTTTAATGACAGAATTGATTAGACATTTTGGAAAATCAGTGGAATTCCCCTTCAAAGTTCTACACACTTGAACATATCATTTACAAAAATTAAAGAATTATAATTAAAGAATCATTTGCTGAAAGGTTTTAAAGGGAAGCTTCTTTGGCAAGACCCCTGAGACCCCCTTTTGGCACCTTTATTTTTAAGAATGCATATGGCCAACCTAAATTACATAAATAGTTCAAAGCACTATGGGTAATGTAGTCCACTTGAGAAAAATAGAAGCTATAAATGGGTCCATCACAAAAGAATTGAGTTAAAACATGTATCTCCTGTCCCTAAAGGGAAATTCCACTGATGGTGTTTGGAAGCAGATGTCTGATGA